ATTGAAATAAATATTTATCTAACCCAAAATTTCAATCGAAGAATTACGTCCAGTGGTTCAGATCTTCAAGGTGATAGTAGTACAAAAAGGAAAAACAATAATACACAAAGTGATTTTACTTATTAGTAGACTCAAAATGTGTCACTAGGATTTTTCTTGAATTTTAATACTTTGAAATTTATAACTTTCAAATTAATGAATTCATAACTTTTATATTATGAATTTCATCTAAAAACTTTCGTGACCATTAGGGAATGATCAGGATGTCAATTTTTACACTTCTTACTGTGTCTGAGTACATTATTTCTGTTTGGCATAAGAGATTTGAACGCCCGTATCTAAAATTTGCTGTATATTATTACTAACGAAGTGATATATAAATAAATTTTAATAATATCTATATATATATATATATGTATATAAATATATATATATATATATATATATATATGTGTGTGTGTTGTGTTCGTAGTTAGCTAATCCTCTCCGGACACGCATCGATACTCTCCATGTGCATTTTATCGTCGTCATTATAAATCTTATGATCTCTTTCGCGCGATTTATCCAGAATCCAATACGAGAGACTGAGATGTAAATAAAAAAGTGCAAAAGTATCCAGGAAAGAGTATCAGAAAAAAGATAATACGCGCGCGCGTACTATCCATCAGCGTTAATTATTGCGTGCGCCAGGGACCGTATTTGCTGTGGCATTCCATGAGCAAAAGCAAATACACATACAATCTTTATGAATCGGAATACAAATAAAATGACATTGAAATTGGTCCATTAATTGGTAAATATTGGTATCTACTTATAATTTATTAAGCCACCATAAAAATAAGGAAAGCAAGGTAATACTTCAATTCACTTCAATTGTACGTTGTACATTTGTTCAAATAAGGCATCCAAGTATGTCCCAAAATGACTTGATAATTCACCAAGACTCCAAAATATATACAGTAGCAGAAGAAATCAGAAGACTTGCATGAAAAACAAGACTAGACTTAAACACCATCCGAATTAAATTGCAAAAGACAAGGTTTCTCAAACATCCACTCAATCAAACCATATCCATACATCCCATCAGTCTCAAAGAAAAAAAAAACACTCCATTAGATTCAGCAGGTTCATTAGATTATAGTTAATCTATAAACAGAAAATAACAGAAAATAATTACCACATTTAGTCACAAATTTATTGAAGGCTTTTCCAAACAGTTTGTAATGGAAATGGTAATGGAAATGAAACAAAAACTGAAGCTTTCAAAAATAGTGCCAAGCTGAAGCAGGCATATCACTATTTTGATACTGAACTTCAAAATAATTATGGTCCCTTAGCTTTACAAGCTCAATTTTCATCAACTCTGTTTATCAAACTACCCACAACCTCATCGGTTTTCCGCTTAAGCATCTTCTTAAGAGTCGTGATGTAAAAAGCATCGAGCGTTAGCTCGCGCTCATGTTGACGCTAATCCATCGGGAGCATCCTGTCTTTCGCATCGCGAAAAAGAAAATGACAAGCGTCGAGAAATAAGAAAAACTGAGCAATCGAGAAGCAATAAGAAATACAAAACTCAGCGTGCCACCAATGAGTAGAAAATGGAATCGGAAAGATGTATGTGATTTATAGAATAGATGGTAATGGTTTGAGATTATATTGGCAAGAAATTTCAAATTTTGGTGTTTTTTGTATAACAAGTGGTATGATAATAAATAAGTTGGATTATTTGTCAGATAAATAAATTTACGTACATAAATGTAAATTACATATGCAGAATTGTCATCTACCCTTGGTCTTTGCCATGAGCCCGCTATTTACCCGACACTCTAGTTTTTTTTATAAACTGCTAACTGTACTAAACCGACTTTTTATCAGATATAGCATAAATATAAGTAATATATATTATTATGGTGTTTTGTGATCCACTACCACTACTAGTTAACTTCCCGTAGGGCAAGTTATAGTAATCGAAAAAAAATCGAAAATGAAAATTTTTATGTATCTTTACGTTTCAAAACTTCTGAACATTTTAGCATACTTAGAAAAATGGATGTATGTGTGTGTGTATGTATGTGCGTGTATGTGTGTGTGTTCGGATACAAATTTTCGTCGACGATTTCGGGAACACGGATGAAACTATATTTGAATTATTCAAGAAACATTAGATTTGTATTGATAAGGAGACGTGCTGATTAGTTTTGGCGAAGGCAGGTCTAGCCATTTCGAATATATGGGAAAAAAGTGCCAAAAACGGTAACTCAGTTTTTAAGAGACCGGAGCGTCCGATTTGAATAATTCAAAAAACATTTTACTTGTATTAACAAGATAAAGAACTGATCAATTTTCATGAAGGCAGGTCAAGCGGGTTTCGGAGATCTAGTAAAAAAAGTAAAAAAAAAATGCCATTTGACGGTCAAAAATGATCATTGACATATGACATATGTACATCAAATTATCAGATATTTTATAGAGATTTTAACAATAAGTATAAATTTTGTTTACACATTTCTGTGGGTTCCGTACCAATGTTCACGCTTTAGACGGCGGCGCGGCGCTTACGCGCTTAGATATCTCGTGTCTATGCAGTAAAGAAGTACGAAAAAATTCTAAATTTCCAAAATATTTCAAAATAAATGATTTAAGATCGAATTATTTAATATGGTTCGAAATTCTATTAAAAGTTTCAAATCATTGATCAACTTTTATTGATTATTTGATTATTTTTAATAACTCGAATTTTGAATTGCGGTACGGAAAGTTCCAGCAATTTGCCTAAAAACACGATGCCTTAATTGCCTTAAGACAGAATTCCACTTACAGCTAGTTTTTATTTCGTTGGCCCCTAAATTTCATTTTTGATGTCATGGACCCCTTGAAAGTTGCCACCAACCTCTGGGGGTCTTTTATAGACCATTTTAGTAATTACTACTTCTGTTTATAGTATAAACATAACTTAATAGAATATTTTTTTATATATGATGAGACTCATGGGACTAGTACCCTACTAGAAACTAAAATAGAAAATAAATGGTGCAATAATGGAATCAATTTTATAAAATTTTATTTCATAAATATCGCCAGCGAATACATCTAAATCTTTGCATTAATTATGTTTCATTTAACTTTTAGTTATTAAATACGTTACAAATATTACCTATAATAAATATTTTAAACCGTGTTGGAATATTTTACAAAATACATCAGTTCATAGTTTAGTATTAATAAATACTTTGCAAATTCGAATAAAGATATAGGTTTGAATTGAAATAGTACTAATTTCTTTGAAATGGACTTTGAAATATTATAGGCATCGAATCGAATTATTATCAATTTTATAGTTCATTTTGTCACGCTGTTTCCCGATTATACCTTTCACTCATTTCTTATCAACTTCACAAAGAAAAGCTAGTAAGCTATATTAAGTACCTACAATTTTTAGATTAAAGTTTCCATCAGTGATCTTTCTATTCTCCGAAAGAAGGAAAAATAAAATTGAATGTTGAGTTACTGACTCACCGGAGTCCGTGTATGGCCGATGAGCACGCGATTCATAAAATAGCCCGGAGCCCACGGTAGCTCGTATACCTTCGAAGGATATTTATGCTCTCGATGCAAACTTAATATAAGTACGCGGGTCACGAATATATGAATTTTGCAATGTCCATCGTAAATGACCAATTGACATAAACATATGAATCTTTTCTCAATGGTTATTATTATTATTTTGTAGTCTGGGTTCTGTAATTATATCATTTTGAAATGTACAAAAAATTTATTACATGCATTGCAAACGAGGTATAACTTTTTAATGCAGCTTTTTTAAAACTTATAAAAATAATATTATAGAAGAACATAGTAAAGTAAATGTCCAACACATTTTTTTATACTTATTTCACATATTTTAATAAAATATTTCAATCATTTATAAAACATTATTTCATGTTATTGTGACTAATTATTATGTTGTCCATATTATTCAATTCAATAGAAATTTTCATAAATAAGTAATACATCATTATATCTTGATTGGAGAAATCTCAAGAGACTTTCCCATCTGGTGAATATACTTACAAAGGCTAGCGAACAGTTTTTTTTAATCAATATACTTATTAAGCGTTTTAATCGGCGGACGAATGATGTCATTTTGATGTTGCTTTTTGATACGCTGGTTTTCTATGTTTATTGAATGAGATCGTTTTTATAATTGCGACCGATTTTATTTATTCGTTTATTTATTTATAAAGTCGCCGAACGTTTCGTTACGGCTCTACGGCGGTAAAAGCTACTGTGCACTCTCGGTCGCCCGGAGGGACAAAATCCTGTACGGTAGAAACGTATTTTATGGTAAGTTCAGGTTTGCATATCGCTATGTTAGTAATTCTTGAGTTATTGCTTTAGTATGATTTTCATATCAGATTTAGCTAAAATGTAGCATTGAACAAGTTCTATTCATTTATTGTATTGCAGTAAATGTACTTTCAGAACAAAATAAATAAAGATATTACTAATATTTTTAAATATTCATACGCGTTTAATATTTTTCATTTATCTTAAGAGTTGTAGAACTATTCTAGATATGTTCTTGATTTAGTAAATAAATATCCTATTTTAAAATATAAGAAAAAAATTGTATTAAAATTACTACCATGATGAGAGACAAATCAGTCTCGAGGAAAATCCAAATGAATCATAGAAACAGATAGCTATTCAATGATTTCAATACGGATCTCGACAATTGTCCAAAATTTGAATGTAATGTTTAGCTCACCTTGATGTGTGTCATTCGGTGATAGTACAAATTACTGCTTGCAGTAAATCGTTTCCCACAAACTTGACATTGGTGTGGTTTTTCGCCACTGTGTATTCTTCTATGAGTATTGAGAGAGGAAGACGTGCTGAAGCCTTTACTACACACGGAACAAACATGTGGTTTTTCTCCTGAAAGTGAATAAAATGTACAATTGTTAATTAAAATCAATTATCCAATAAGTCATTGAAGTTATTATTAGAAATTGAACATTCTTATTAATTACTATAAACGACAAAAATAGCAGACAATGTTTAGAACACAATATATTCCTAACTTTGAATAACAATATTTCTTTCCATATTGAGATTAGAAAATTATAATCACAAAATCAAAATTCCTTTTATAATTTTTAGTAAATTGTAGGAAGTTAATCGTACATCCAATATACGAATCTGCTAGTAATTTGGCTATATCTCCATCTATTCATCCGACACATCATAGTTCAAACAAGCAATGCTTATAATTGAATAGGTTGTTTTAAACACATTGGTTTATTAAATTTGATATGCTGTACGTGATGTTTCATAGTGATCGTCTTAGGTGATCACTCATGTTCATAACTTGTGCTCATGACGATCGATCAAAATCAATATAGTTTCTCACACATTTGATAGCCATCTACATACACTCACATAAATATATTACATTTGTATGGAAATATATACGTAGGTGTTGTGTACAAAGTATGAGGGCAAAATTCATAATTCACATTAGTAACAATACTGAGTACTTGTAAGCATTTGTATTAATTTAAATATAATATATTAGTACCATCTGAATAAGAAGTTATAAAATTATGCATGACATACAAAAATGTTTATAAATAATTTGTATGTATAATAGTGTATATGCACTCATGTAGACTAAACAGAAGCAATTAGTTAAACTTGAGAGTAAATATTCTGTTCTCGCGTAGCATTTTAATAAAAAAAATTGTTTGCACTAAATATAAATGTAACTCTTAAATACATATTCGATTTATGTTTGATTTATTCAATTAATAAGTCAATCAAAACTTCTCTATAATAATTTTTTCAAACGATATCAATTAAAAGCTCGCCATTCACCGCGACGAACTCAAGTACATCGTCCAAAATTATTATAATGGCATTACATATGCACATATAAATTCGATCATATACTCATGCATGGAGTAACTGCATAGTTATATACTCTTAGAGTCAACGGTTGATTTTTTACATTATTATTTTTTTACAGAGCTCGTTCGATTTCATTTTGTGATCGGATCAAGAGCAGGTGTCAACATTTTAATAATGCACTTTCGAAATGTATCGCCTCTCGTATGATCAACTTGTTAATCCAATTCCCTTCAGCCGACTGATGGATGAATGGAAATCAATGACGTAGGTGAAAAGAAAAAGATATCGCATAACGTGAATTAAAATTATATAAATAAACAAATCAAAAATCGAACTGTACGATAAAAAATTGAATACCTTCATTCAAATGAAAATATAATTTAGGCCCGTTGTTCTGTTTGTTTTTAATATTAACTTTATATTAACGTTATAGCAAAATCAAACATTTTATCTATTAGAATTTTATTCTAATTCTGTTTAGCCCACAAGATTGCATACATTTATATTATAAACACATACAATTAATTATAAACACAGTTGTGGATTTTATTTTTTATTGACTTTGGTTTGGGGTACTTTTCTTTTTCTTTGCTAGGTGAACTTTAAAATCAGAGCAATTAAATACAGAAAACAAAAACATTGTTAAATGATTATTTATTTGAGATAAGAATTTATAGAAAATTAAAATATGAAATACACAAAAAGAAAACGACTGGAAAAATCGTTTTTTTATCATGGATTTTTTTTTAAATGGTGAATTTTTTCATAAACAGAATTATAGATTTCATTCTTTATAGTCTTTCATTTGAGTACTTTCTTTCTTTTCTTAGCTTGGTGAACTTTGAATAAATATTTAAAAATTAGAAAAATTAAATTAGAAAAAGCAAAAATACTGTTGAATGGCAATTTATTTGAAAAAAAGAGTTTATTAGGTAATTAAACTTTGAAACACTCAAGGAGAAAACGACTGGAAAATTAGTGCTTTTACATCATTATACTTTTTTAAGTAGCAAAAGTTTCAAGTAGTCTTTATTGTATGAATGTAAATAAAATTGAAAAGTTTAGAATTGTTCAGTTTCCCAGCCCTGTCTTTGCTAATCCGATAGTCGTTGTTCACTTATGGTTTATCCATCTAACACAAGTGTCAATTAAAGGCAAGTTCGGCAGCAGCGATTTAGTATTGTATTTATCTATTTGTTGATTTATTGAATTCCCTTCAGGTCGACTACACAATTTACGAACAACAGTTATTCGCCTATAAGCTATCTCTTCTATTAGCATATGACATGTTCTTAATGTAATCAAGCCCACGCAGTGTAATGTCTCTATTTGAAAATTTCTCGCATGAATTAACAGAATCAGAGTACGAAAAAATATGTCACTTTGTTTATTTGAAATCGTATTAATTATGAATGTATAATTCATATTTGTTTCCGCGCGATCTGCTTCTGTCAACCGGCTCGTGCGCTTCAATTTCTTGTGTACATACTTGAAGAATGAATTAATAATTTTTTATTTTTATTTATTCAATAAAATATAGTATTTAATGAGAATGACTGATCTATTCTTTAGTTATAGTTAATTTAGTAAAATCAGGCTTCTTTTTTTGAAGAAGGTGCTACGGCATTACGCTACATTAATGTATAAACTAATTCGAACAACCTTAAACTAGTTCTGGGGTTTCTCTATTTTATTAAAAATTATTTTTTATATATCTTCTCCAAGAAGTAATAAAAGATTTCTTCTATTTCTATTACTAAAATACATTTTTTTCGATCAATCACCGAATTGTGATACAAATATCGATTTCTATACGGATATTATTAGTCCACTATTTGGATAGTTAAAACGGGATCATTTTTTTCGGCACCGCGATGTCGTCAATTCGAAATTTAAAATCGTAAAATGAACTAATTACTTAATCAAGTCCAGAATTAATAGGCGCACTATCTTGATTTACTACCAGAAGATTTATCATTAGCAGAGTATAAAATATAAAACACGAATAAATCTCGTATAAATTTTTTTCGTGTCGCGAGATGATACATAGATCGAATATGTAGTTTATTTGTTATATGTTTTCAAATAACGCGTATACGATAATTTACTAAAATTAGTACCTACTAATAACGACAACGTTAGCAAATAGTTAGCGCGAGTGAAATCTGAGTAAATTGCCTTTAGAAGGGTAATGGATTTGTTATGTCTTAGAGCCAATAAAAGCAAATTGGACTCGCAAAGATAGATTGTCCTTTTTTGTTTCTATTTCAAATTATTTGGATACACCAGGAAGTTAGACTTATCTATTCCCCATTATTAACTCCAAAGCAATCAGATTCAAATGGCGTTAACCTCAAAATATATATCACCACATCATACGGTTTGGTTTTATCTTTATCGACAGTCATTTCGTATATACAGCCGATGAATTTACGATGTCGCATGCTTAATTTGGCACTCTGTCGTTTTATCGATATAGTTAATTTGAATCCATTAATGTTCCGATAATAATAATGAACTGTTTTAATTAGCTGCGGGTTTAACATATCCGCATGAGATGGTAAAGAATCAGATGAGGAGCTAGTGAATATTCTGTATTTTGTATTTATAAATTTCATTAATATCAATTGTCACATTGATTATCAATTACTCACATAACATATAGTGAACCTCAAGTAAATTAGTCAATAAATTATTAGATATATTACTAAATGTACCTTATTCAATTTTCTGCATTATGTCTTCATCTGATTTTTATGGACATGAATTAAAATTTATATTCTGGGTTTTGTTACGAATTTCAATTCTTAATTATACACGTATTTCACTATAATCTCTCTCTAACTGCTTATCTGCTACTATATATTCATTATTCTTATTTCTTATTATCCACCCATAGCAAATCTCATATAGATCCATACTATCACTCATACCAACATTCATACAAAACAGCGCCGCCATCTAGGCATGTATGAAAATATGTCTAAATATAAATATTTAATTTGAGAAAAAATTACCAGATTATACTTTAATTTTTATATTGGCTAAGTTTTTTCCCAAGGATGGAAAAAATGTCTGCTATTCACTGTTTTATGGTGCGCTTGCGGGTCGCATTGGTGCTCGTTATTTTGATAACGTAATACAACACAAAATTATTTTTATGTGTTCAATTTTATTGAGATTATCCTAAGGGATTAAGATTAACGCATTTAAAAAACACATTGCATTAAAACTTCCGCTGCCATAAAATTTAATATCAAAGATTTCAAACAAAACGTCGTACTTCAAAAGGCCAATTAACATCTACACTTTTTATTACATTTCTGCAATGTATATGTAATCGATACTTCCATGATTACAACTTTACGATAATGATATGAATAAATGCTATTTATTTTAAAGATAATAATAATAATTCTTACCTGTATGTGTCCGCATGTGTCTTTTTAATAAACTGGGCCTATCGAAAGCTTTTCCGCAAACTTCACACGGCAGAAGTGTTCGTTCAGATTTTCCTTCTTTCCTCATTACTCCCCGCGGCGTACCTAAGGCTGTTACACTAATATTTGTTTTTTCCGAAACTTGATTTATTTTTGTCGTTCCAAAAACTGGAGATTTTGTCAAATTTCTTGGTGTATTGTCGTTATAGTCAGTATTTTTCGAAAAGTTTCTGAACGAATCTGATAAATTTCTAAGCGAGTCCGGAGAGTGGTTCATATTGCGCAGAGAATCTGATATATTCCTGGATACGATTGATTTGCCATCATATTCTCTGTTAAGTTTCTATTACTCAAAATGGTTTCAGTAATATTTCTCACAGATGTTGGTGAATGGTTTTGCAGGTTCCTCAAAGACTCTGAAAGATTTCTTAACGTTTCTGGCGAATGATTAAGACTTCTCATGTGCTCTGTGATATTTCTGTTATAGTTATGTGCTTCGGCAGCATTTATTATCGTATCTTGTAGGTTTTTCAAGGCACTAGGTGAATGATTTTGTAAATTCCTCAAAGAATCTGAAAGATTTCTCACTCCTGCTGGCGAATGGCTTAAGTTTATTAGAGATTCGTGCAAATGTCTCATTGGCAAATCATTTGCAAATTGCATCATCATCGCTTCGGATATATGTCTAGGATCACTAAAATTTCTGAGAGATTCTGATAAATGCCGTAGAGATGCGGGCGAATGATTGTGCAAACCTCGAAGAGGGTCAGGCATATTTTTTAAAGTCTCAGGCGTACTATGTAAGTTTCTCACAGAATCCATAAGATTTCTATTGCCTAAAATAGCTTCTGGTATGTACGTTGGCGGTGAGTGGCCTAAATGTTTCAAGGATTCCGATAAGTTCCTAACATTAGGGAAGGATTATTGGAATGATTTCTAGGAGATCGTGACAAATCATGGGGTTCGCTGGTTGAAACCCGTCGTGTTAAATCTTGGGGTAAATTTTCGTAACTTGATGTAGAAAACTTGTAGAATTATGATCGAAGTACGATGATGTTGTCGATTCTCCAGATAATGATTTTCTTTCATCTTCTGTGGATGGTGAAACTGGTAGGGTGATAACTCTTGACAGAAGAGCTGTCGATAGATCGAGCGGTGTTTCTGGAAAAAATAAATAATATGTAAAGGATATGTATTTATTATTTTAACAAAAAAACTTTTAATTTTCAATATTTTTTAGTAAATTATGTAAACACAAATCGAGATGAAGAATTATATTAAGTTTTCAACAATAAGTTTAGATGGGTTTTTAAGTCATAACTATAGGCATCAAACACAAAATATAATACACTTAAATTAAAAATTCAATTAATAAAATGGTGAATTTAATATAATATTTTTAAGCTATTAAGGGAGACCGGGTACGGTTGTGCCAGGGTATCGTAGTGAGTTACCATAACATTGAAACTATACTGATTATGACATAGGGTTCAAGGGTTTATATATAGAGACATTAAAAAATAGTACAAATATTTAAAGGTGTTGATGTATATTATTCTTGTGTACATACAAAGAAAATTAAGAAATCGCTTCTCACTGATTTCGCAGTGTGTACGACAAGAAGCTTATTAGCTTCTAACAAATTCCCATCGGCGATGCTTATCAGATTTGTATCACGTTGGCCGCGCATCGTTGTGTGCGCGCATTATTGACACTTGAATGGATGCGCGGTTCTTCTTTGGCGAAAGATTAAAAATCTAACGCGAGAGACAATGGCTGACGTTTCGGTATGCGAAAAGACATACCGCAGTACAAGAGTATACTCTCAAAAAATAAATAAAATTCCGTATCGGTTATTTATTTCTGTTAGCATATCTGCTGTCTTTACTCGATAATGCGTAAGCAGGAATGACAAGCACGAGGCCCGGGAGCAGCATGATAGTAACTGATACTTCACCCAATGACATGCTTTGCTATATTTTTTCTATTCATAAATAAGATTATAATTGATTTGTTAATATGATATTTTGTAGCTTCATTTCATGCTATATAACCATTTCGGTTTCGATCAATGATAAATCGATGTGATGATCTACTGAAATATGTTGTTTTGGTCATTACTTTGTTTACCTCGTATAATAGTTTCTCAGTTTTAAATAAATATTTATTTTATAAATCAAATGAAAACTGAACAAATTATCTATGTAATTATGAAATTTCTATAAAATGCCAAGTTTAGAACAAAGTATTGAAATTCTTTACTCAAAAATATTTGAATATTACTGTGCGTACGAAACTTTCAACTTTTCTGTTGTTTTACAATCGTTATTATAAGCCATTGTCTTTTCATACACTGTTAGCAGTTCCATATTATACATTTTTATAATATGCTCAAATAATTCACGCTTTGTAATAATACAAATTTGTTTGCAAAAAAAAAAGTTAACAATCGTGCATTATTGCAACATTATTTACTACTATATATCAACAATTTATACTTATTTATCTATGCTATGAAATATTGGGGTGTCCTCAAAAACTCCAAAAATTCAAGTATAATTTTTATACTAATTATTTTTCCAAGGATTTCATAGCTTGGTTTTTGTTTCCGGGACATCTAGATGTGTGTAATACTTTTGTTTACTTCGAAAACCAAAATAACATGTATTTAATAGATTGTTACTGTAATATAAAGAAGAGTCTCTTTATATATACATATATGTAGACATGTTAGGCGCCTTAGGCCTAAAAGAAACGATTGCCTCAAATCCTGCACAATACATGGTTTGCTTTATATACATGCCCGGAGCTGCATATAGTTATTTTGCATGGACTTGATTTTGATGTCTTTCTAATTGCCTTTGATGTTGCTAATTAAATCGTTTTAGGGGTTTTTCATTTCTTACGCCGTAGGAGGGTTGAATTTTATATTAAAGAATAATTTTTTTTATTTTCTTCGCCTCGATAAAATTATAAAACTCATGGAAGCAACCTATCTTTTGCCAGATCTGCTTTAACATGTACATTTTATATAGCATTGTAAAGTTAAATCGGTAGTACACGGATTCGATTATGTGGGCTTGTATTCTTAATGTTCTGATATTCTGCTATATGTGATAAGAACATATTCTCACAATAAATCTTTCAAGATTTTCATTAAATGATACCATACCCGAAATTATGCTTAATTTGTTCAAAGATTAATATCTGAATAAATTAGACAATTAAGCAACATTTTGGTGAATTTATAATTATTCAAGATTAAGAAATCGTTATCACTTTTAAATATTAAAAGCACATCAGATTTTGCGTAAATACAACTTTATAATTTCAAACACATTATTGTATATAATTAATGACTTAATTAACAAACCACGGACGATATACAAGTATAAAAAATAAATTAATATTAGTTTCAATAAATATATTCAAATGCGCTTCTTAATGAACCCGTTATTTGATCTTTAGGTGATCCGATTCAAAGTATTACCAACTGCTTTGAAAATTATTAATCTAGATCTATCAAAGACAGGTGCTTATATGTATATACATATAATTATACATTTAGTTATAGTTGTGTACAAACACATATAATTTATTTCTTATAGAAAACGAGTTTTTTTTTAAAACAAGCGAACATAACTGTGGTAATTTATTAATCCGTTCTATACGTATTAACGAATTATAAGCGAGTGTGTATATATATATATATATATATATATAAATATATATATAATATATATATATATTTCATTTAAATCAATAAAATCACGATCGGAGATATTAGCATCTCAAAGCTCCAGTCTTTACACTTTTGTTTATTAATAATTTTTTCGAAATCATTCTACAAAAAGCAAGCCGAAACACATTAAACAGCGGAAGCTCATTACGAAAAACCAGTAATGTATCAATATTTGTGAAGAGTTGTTTCTCTTCTTTTTCGATTTCAATAAAAATCAACATAACACATGGCAACAAGTTAATAATTTGTTTTAATTAAAATCACTAAGTTGGTAATTGTTTTATAGACGTTTCCAGTTGTGGGCAGGAAATCGGATTAATTGGTTTGACTTGGTATCTCGTTACCAATTTTCTATTAGACAGAATTACGTGTCAAAAGTTTAATTTGTTCGACAGATTTCAAA